TGGACGATGAGTCACTTCATTCCCTTTCGAACTGGAGTTCATCGGGTTTTCATATTCAGCTAGCACATTTTGTATATCACCGATCGTGTCCTCGTGAGGATTAAAAAATATAGTGTTGTGTAGATATTCCCAGTCAGATCACCTTATGTCATACGGGTGGAAATCAATGTCTGTAAATTTAAAACGTTTGTTGATAACTGCGTAAGTATTAATAAATATTGGCTAAAAGTATGAACTTCAAAAATTAAGAAATACAATTAAAATCATTTTACAGATCATCTTTTATCCCAACTAAAGTACGTGGGTGTCTTGTCCAGCATTCCACAAACTCTCGAATTGTTTTGCTTTTTGGAGGGTGGTCAAATAAAATTCTAAATATTTGTGTAACCATATGAGTTCGGCAAGATAGGTTTTTAAAAAACTTTAAAAATCATCCTTAGTCATCGACCATGGATGTTTACTGCATTCTTGGCAACAAAATCCCGTATTACAAGCTCCAAAATTTTTCGAAAATGCATCTGAAATAAAGTTATGTGTTAAAAAGTGTTTCGTATCGAAAGTATTATTAAAAATATGATTATTGATTATTAATGATTACAATGATTATTTAGTAATGCAAACAATTTGGGTCTAAGGAAACAGGTGCTATATATATACAAAAAAACAAGTGTTTAACTAGAATCCAAATCAATACTTACGGAAGAAAATATTTTTTTCCGAAATTTAAGAAAATATATTAATTCACTCAACTGCCAGTCGTGATAGATCAAATTTTGGACTTAGATCTTTGCAAATGGTACTAGTGCATTCCTGAGTACTTCTTCTGTCGTCCTATAGTGTTTTTGAAAACAATAACTCCAAAAATTGGTAGTTCGAAAGGTAAGTATGGAATCCACCACAAGATTGCAATTACCCTCGATCTCCAAACTTTCCCGCCCAAAAGCTCCCTAGATTTTCATTTGCGAAAAAATTAGAAAGAGGTAAACTGATCAGTGGCTCGTGCTCTACAGAATTGAGGTGTTAAATTTCAAAAAACTGCAGGGAAAATGACCCTCGTATTCCAGGGGTCTGTAGAAATAGACCAAAGGCGTTATAAAACAATGTATATATATATATTATATAAGTAGAATATCCTATAACGGTGTAGCCCTGTTTCTTCGGATGACGGTCCCTCGGTAATATTATAATAACGTCATACGAGTTTTGTCATATATCGTATACAAAGATTTTTAAAATTAAACTTTTTCTAATTTTGTTGGTGTCTATAATTTAACAAAAAAATCAATTATCTTTTGTGAGCATTTTAAGTCTTTAGTGTTACTGATACTGCTTCCTCTGAACCTTTTACTTGTGCTATTGCTTATAATTATGTAGTTATTTTGCTGGTAAAAATGATTTACATCACTCAATTATAAATCGTTTATAAAATAAACGTAGGTACAGGCTACAGTATTTGACATTTGTGAATGTTTTTGATAAAAGCCTATTAAACTCTGTTGAATTAAATCTGTTTGATTTTTTTGGAATGCGCAGGTCTGTGTACAAGTTTTTCGATTAACCATTATTTATTATTATTATTTTAGAATACTGAAAATTCCACCAATATTAGTCACAATACATCTAACAAGTATTAGCATCCATAATCTACATAATATAGGTACACTGTACACTGTCTGATGAATTATATATTGTTTGGAAATGTCTTAGGTCGTTTCCGAACAACACCTTTATTTGCCTTTTAAAAGCCTTTCTCATATATTATTCACTGTTGTATTACTCTCGTAGTTATTCTAAGACTGCTGTCCGGTAATGTGGGTGAGACTTCATATATGACAACGGTCAACTCGATAAGGGACCACAACCATTATAGTGCAATATTTGGGCAGTCGGCTGTAACAAATATAAATTATGTACACAGCAAATTAAGGGTAGGCATGTTTAGACAACTCATGGCACAATAATGTATATACATTTTTATTGTTTCCACTAAAATATATCAGGATAGGGTGGATGGATGATTTTAACAAAGAACCTTGCCTTTTATTTTGTGCCCACGCCTCTTTTATATTATCTCCGAAATGTTTCATACAACTTAGTTTGTATATAATCTGAGTAAAAACAATAATTGTAACAAGATAAATGAAAAAAAGTTTTCACCAGAGGCTCATATGATGAATATTTCTTTTAATACTCGTACGGAGTCAAGTGGAGGGATGTTCGACCAAGACACAACCCCCGTTGAGACTTACTCTATGTAATAATCATTCACTCCAAAACATAATAAATTATAAAATTCTTCAAGAGTTTTGAAATAGAAGAAAATTGTAACCGTACTATGTTTTAACACACTCTCCATTTAGAAATTTGTTCTTATTTGAAAAAATTAAATACCCAATACAATTACGCATTGTTGTAGCAACAATAATTCGAATATGGATTGATATTTAATCTTTTATTTTGCAACCAATTAATAATTATTATATTCACTATGATATAACTATATGTAATTGTATAACAAATTTAACCCAACTGGACAGCAATATTAGGTATTACCTATAATATTATGCAACAGTTCGGAGTCGTATGCTGAGTCACAGGATAGTGTAATATTAATATACTATTATATTAAACTAGAATTCAACTTGATCATTTTGGAAAAATAATTAAAACTCGAGCCTATTTTACTACAAAAACTTTACCTTTATACATTTTTCTTGACATAATTGAAAACTTCTGGGTAATCCTCAAATTTGACCTCTCAAAATACGATTTAAAACCATATTTCTACTAGAGAAGTAGAAAATATTGAAGAATATTCACAGTCTTAAAAGTTAAAAGATGTTGACACTTGACAGACAGAAGAAAAACACACACTATTGTAAAATCAATACATTCATCGGTGCACTCAGAATCTAAAATCATACTGTAACAACAATATAATATTATTACAGCTAAATTGAGTTTAATTGAGTCGTGCACGTGATCAATACGTACGAAACAATTTGTTGTAACGTCAAAAATAACCAACAAATTAGGTATCGTCGATTTCACGCGTTATATATATATATACATTATCTATTAAATTACATAGAGTGATTTATCATGCATGCTCATCCCAATTGTTTCCATAATAATTATTAATTAACAATGTGCATTAATTATACGTTAGGTTACTAACTATTAATTTATTAATTAAATTTAACAATTTTTGGAATTTTGAAGTCTATTTAATTTTTAAAAATTTAGATTTAATATATAATTCGAAGAGAAACTACTACAAACTATTATTTTTTTTTAAATGAAAACTTTAATTTTTTTCTGTTTAGTGTAAAAGATGATGATTTTTGAAAACTTTGATGTAGGAATTTAAATAGAAATTCAAACTATTAGTTTCTACGATATTAAACTTTATAAACTAATGATAAGTAGGCCCTGATAATAGGTTTAGAAGATAGATATTGCGGCAATGGATAACACATAAAATCTATATTATGGTCTAGTAGGTACTAAGCTTAAGTAATAGGTAATTACTACTCGATGAACTATACTCAGACAATATGTACAAATGATAAATGTCAATATTATGGTAAGTAGTACTGTTGAATACTGTTCCAGAATTCAGAAACTAATAGTTTGAAAATCGATCTAAACAACATTTATATAAAGAAAAATATAGGTATATTTAAGATTGTGAAATTTGAATGAATACATAGTTTACGGATAAAATGAAGGTGAGCTTTTTTTGGGAATCACCCTGTATACATAGTCATCGAAATATCCAATAGGACAATGCCACCCAACACGTTCAACTGGTCATACCATTTTACTTGAAACATAAAAAAAATAACGCAGTAGATAAATTTAATATTATGACAATTTGTACACGTACGTTGACGCGTATATCTCTCGAGTATTTATATTTTATTTCCGAATGCGTTTTACAAACATTTGGGACTATATTATAATATTACAAATACCATTATTGTGACGAATGTGCTAACACTGACACGACACATCACAACAACACGCTCTGTATCATGTTACTGTAATAGTGGCATATTATTGGTATTTATTTATCTAATATTTTTTGTTTTTGTCTCTGCAAACACGTGTAGTAAATACTCGTTGATATACCTAAGATATAACATTGTAATAATTATAATTTTAACAACATTATTATTATTATTAAACAACACTACTCTAAATTTCACAAAAAATTACATCTACACCAAAATCCTCTTATCTCCCACTTATCATCACGTACACTTCCAGACAATCCCCCTCGACGTCTTAAAAGACGCTGGTGTCGTGATCTTTTATGATCAAAAAAAAAAAAAAAAAAAAAACAACATTATTATATTATTATATTATAACAGATATGTGCGTAACGAAGTTTTTGAATTGTGTGTGTGTGTGTGGGAGGGGGGAGAGGTGCGGAAATCTATTTCGTGTATTATTCCTTTATAATAAAATTTATAATTATACTTTTAGCCAGTAAAACCCTTAAATACCCTTGGGAAACGGAAAATATAGTATTAAGGATTCGTTTTTTTTTGTTTTTGATAATTAAAATATAATTAACATCATAGTTTATTAGTCTTTACGTTACTTACTTATACATTTTCGTACTGGATAAAAATATGAAATTCGACGGTCCAGTTAAGATTTTTACTCCGATCTGGGTCCATCTACTTAACTCGGATACTATATTCTTTCAGCGCCAAGTCCTTAAAAGTAATCATCACAAGTAGAAAAACTGACAGTAGGTGAATATTGTAATCGTAAACCCATAACAACTATATTTTATTTGTTATAGAATGATAATAATAACCTCATTGGTACAAGACGTATCTTAAAGGTTTTTTTTTTTTTTTTGATACAGTCTGTCGACTTAATCACACATACGGGAGTCGTGAATAAAATTGTACTAAAATAGCAAAACCGCTAAGTTCACGCACAGCGATGATCACCGTTCGTCAGTCATCGGTCCGCCGCCTAACTTTTAGTTTCAGCGGCGGCATCGGCGCACGTGTGTGATTTTCGTCGACAAGGACGAGTTGCGCGTTACCGGCGGAGCTCATAAATTCGGTATCGTATGCGTGCGGGTGGGCCGGTCGCACGAGAGACGAGTTCAGTTCGTTTTACCGTCGGGCACCGCGTGCGGTTTTTGCTCGGTCGTCGTCGTCGCATTCGCTGTGCAGCGTTTTTCGTCTAGTCATCTTTTCGAAATTTTCTTTTACTACTCGGCTGATAATCACGTGTGAATCCAATAAACATAAAATAAAATAGTAAAATAAATAGTACAATATATTTTTTAAAAAAATTTTTTTTTTTGAAACCCATTGTGAATTTCCGAGAAATTGAGAGCATTTATCGGTTGTTTTCCTCTTGATTTTGGATTAATTTCTTCCAGGACGAAATCCGACAGTTTATATCGGTAAGTCGCAGATGTCTATAATATTATTATTACCATACGAGTAGGGAGTTTTTATTAATATTCGAATGTATATTGTATCTGTGTGATTTGTCAAAGTGGTTAGTTGAAAATCAAAAGCCCAATACCTATAGGTGTTGAACTCTAAAATCGGTTTTATTACTAAAGATTGTTTGAATTTTATTTATTAGCACACGTGTTTTTTGATTATATGATATCAATAAAATAGGATTTAATGAAAAACGTGCTTACTCCATGGACACGACATTTTGACACAGTTATTAATTTTTATAGCATCTTCCGTCCTATTATCAAGGCTTCAATAAAAAATATAATTTATTTTTAGTTTACCATCTATTATAGGAAGAATATTGACTTTGTCGATAACATAAGCAGTGCTTTTTGTTAAATTAAAAATATAAAGAAAAAATATTATTAGTATATTTTTAACAAAACAGAATAATTATACCTTTTAAAGACCATTGTGAAGTATTCTTATAAAATGAAAAATGTAATCGACCTTTTATATAAAGATTGTAATAAGGTAGAGTTTGAAGTTTTTAGTGATACAAAGACCTTAATTTTATAATTTTAAAGATTCAATAAAAAAAAAAAAAAATGGTAAATGTGTAATATATAATTATTTAAGATTTAGATACTTTTGTTAAATTATACTTTTAAAATCATGTGTCTAATTGTTGTTTATTATACAATTTTATAAAGCTTTCAAAAAAATTGTATTAATATTATTTTAATTTTTAACTTTAAATGGGTATGTTCATAAAACTTTAAGTTAATCTAACTTAAGATGTGTGTTACAAGTAAATTAAAAAATGTATAATAATTAGTGACTTCAACAACAATGTTGTCATAAATTTAAACTTTTTTTGTATTCACATATTTCTTTTAATAAATGGGTGCATTCTCTGTATAAAATATGACTATAACATTAAGATTAATTACTTAATATTTAAAAAATCAAAATTTGCTCGAACTATCCAACATGTCAAATACATTCATATTAATATTTTGTCTACAATAAATTTTAAAAGTTTAACTCAAGATGTATAATCTAAGATATACCAACATAAATATGCAATATAATGTGTATTCTTTTTGATAATTAGTTAGGTATGTTAAATTTGTGATTTTTAATGTTATGTATCTTATGACAAAAACAAATAAGTTAAAGATGTTATTAGAGAAGTTTAAGACCATTTTGAAAACTAAACTATTTATTTTAAAAATATAATTTAAACAATTTAATGCATCTTACAAAATATACATGATGTGTTTTTATTATAATAACAGTAGAACTGTAATTTTCTTCTGAAATAATAACATAATATTAACACATAGATATTTTATGGCAGGACTTTCAAAAAAAAAGTATTCACGGAGTGAGAATATAACATACACGAGAATTATAGTTTAGTGTGTATAATGAATAGAATTTATGAAATTTATGATTTAAAAAATTAAAAGTCAACAGATAAAAATATAGTATTTTTCTACGAAGTATTTAAAAATTTTTGTGTGGTAAAAAAATAATGATATAAAACATTTTGGAAATTCCATTAAATATAGTAAAATAATTTAAACAGTTCATAGTTCAGTGGATTTTTTAGGTAAATTCCACATCGATTCCGTTCGTTTGTTTTTGTAATAATTACTTATTATAACTAAATCTTTTGAAATTTCTTCTTAGGCTGAGGTAAAAACAAATTAGGGGGGATAAACTTAAACCCCCTCAAATAAATTACTGAAACTTTCATATTTTGTATTAAATTAAAACTAATCAGTAAAAAAATATATTCTCTAGTATTTTTTCTGAAATGTGATTATAACATATTTTCTTTGTTTAACTGATTACTAGTGTTTCTTTATACGTATTTTAGATCGCATTTATTAAAATATATTTCTGGTCATCAACATCAATGTAAGTCAATACAACTATAACATTTATATACTTTAAAACCATATTAACCTTAGTTGGTGGAGATCAGTTACAATTTATAAATATGATAAGTGCACTGACTGAAAGTACGAGTATTTTGGAAGTTGGTGTTTGTATCGTAATAAATAATATGTCTACATTAGTTTAAATTGTATTTGTAAATAAATAGAAAAAGTATGTGATATGTTAACACTCACATACTACAAGAAATATTTTAAATTATATGATTATTAAACTTTCGAGTTTGTTCTTTTATTTAATTAATGCATAATTATTATATAACTTTAATACCTGGTTCAAATAAAACCAAACAATGTTAAATTGTATTTTTTTCAATATTCATTTTATTTTTGTTAACTGAATTTATGCTATTTTTTTAAAAATAACATTAATTAATTATTGCTTTAAGCAATTGAAAACGAGGCTCAGTGTTGGTCTTGACATTTTATATGAAGAGTATAATTAGGTTATAGTAAGTTATAGTAAAAAAACAGTAATATGTAAATTTATTGTTTACCATAAATCATTATGTAATTATTATGCTATTCTTAAAATAGAAAAGAACTGTACTTACCTATTCACTGTAATCAATACATTTAAATTTTATCCTAATTGTATGTCGTATTTAATTTTATCTGATAATGAATATAGTAAAGAATATAAAATTATTTTACCATACGGCATACGCTAATGGTTGTAATTTGTTAACTTTTACATTCTGTCAAAAGTAAACCAGTGTTAATGGCGTGTAAGATAATAAATATAAAATTTAATGTGTTAAACAAATGTTGATTAATTTTGATCAGAGGCAAACTCATTCGATTACTAATAAACGCAAACGCATTAATTTATTTTATTTTTAAATTATTATTTATTTTTTCGATAAATTGATTTACATATTTCACAGTATGTTTCTATAACAAAATGTTATTTTAAACAAATTAATAAATATTACATTTGTTTTTTATTATTTGAGTATAAAATACATTTATCGAGGAACTTGTGCTTTTGTAAATAAAATTATGTATTTAATAATTGTGAAGTTAGTTTAAAATTTTAGCATTAAAAAAAAAAAATTTATTATTTAAGTGATTCAAAAAATTTTTTTACTATACCCTACACAATACACTACTCAAATATGCATGTTATGAATTATGAGTTAAATGTTTTAAAAAGTATAATTGCGTAATTTAAGTAATATACATACAGCATAATTAATAGCCTAGGTAAGATTGTGTTTAATTACGTCCATAGCGTATCACCTAGTTAATCTTAACTCTTCAGAGATTGGTAGTTAATCACTAATAAGACTTAAGAAGAAGGAAAACTATTTTTAATAATTTAGAGAATATTAGGTATTTCTGAATATGACTAAATAGGTTTATAATGTTTTGAATTACAAGTAAAACTTAATTTAAATATAATTTAACATTTTTGTACATGTATATATTGTACTGTTCGATATAAATTTGTAAATATTTAAATTAAATACCATTTCAAAAATTATGATTTTATATAACAAACGCACATCAATTATTGTACTGATACTTTAATGCAAAATTACTTTTTCTTACTTATTTTTCGAATTCAAATTTATAAAATATAAGAAACCATATTTTGAAATTACTTTATTGTTCGGAAATACGTTTAAACATTAGCAAACAGTTTCGTTCTTATCTTGTTCATGAAGTATATTGCATGCTTTATACCCGCTGACAACAATTTATAGAACTGACACATAACAAATGTATGGTTTAATTTAAATGAAAGCTTAATGTTGGATATTTTCGAGTTCTGCATTATAACTCTTCAATATTATAACAGTTTGAACAGAATACCTCTGTTTGTTTTCTAATACAAAAAAACGCACCGAATTTTGTCCTGAAAGATTGTTACTGATTACCGATCATGCTGTAATTTATACGTTGTGTATCATATACACCAAAATATTTTCAAAAATATCCCAGCATTCTGAAAAGAATTATTTTGTTTATATTTGAAAATATCCAACACGAAAATCAAGGAAATATAATTATATTTTTTGTTCATTAAGTTTATTGTAACTATAATGTTCCCTCTTCTATAGATATGTAATAAATTGAAAATTAATTCATAATGTGAACTATACAGACGTAAATGGTTCCTATTATTATAAAATACATTTTTAGACTGTTAAGACTATTAGTTCTCAAAAAAGTATGAAGATACAATATTATAAATCTAAATACGTTTTTATAATTTTATAGTATGCCTAAAATAGGTATTTTGATTCTTTCTACAGTTAATATATATTTCTGAATTGATGGTAAATTATATGTTTATTATTCTAATTTTATTGTTGTTGAAAAATACTCTTATACATAGATTTTTCAACCACATTTTACGATTTATATATATATTTAATTTACATTTTTAAGAACCTTCGTTTAAAATCATATTTTTAATTAAATGATTTATCGTTAATTTCAAAATATAAGACACTTTCTCTCTCACCTGTGGCCCATTCAATTCTAGCATAAGCATCTAGCACCTATTTTTTAATTTTAAATAATAAAATATTTCTATGTATTTTGTGGTACGTATTTGTGCTCATGATTTTGTTTCTGAATTTACGCAGAAATAGTTCTCAATTACAATTGATTTCTTAAAATTGATGTAATTTATATTATTGTTTGAACAATTTGAGTGTGGTTAAAGTATGGGTTTTACACAATATACATCAGATTGTTTAATCTTTTTTTTAAGATGTTTTTTTAATTAATAATTGTCTCTTCACTATCTTTAACTTGTGAATGAAATGAAATGAATTGCATTCCTTTTAAGATGCTTTTTTAAAAACAATAATTAAACTGTGTGAGTATGTATTTATATAATTTTTTCGATCGTCTCATCGTACTACGATCGATTAAACTACCGTTTATTTCATTATAAGAATGAAGACTAGACATGAAAACATGTAAAATTTGATATATTATGAATTGTGCGTAGGTATGTGTAATGTGTATATATAGTTATATTTAATCGGGGTAACTCGGAGCAGTTTTAA